GACCGCTCTTGTTCGCGGAGCGCGAGCCACTACCATGACTTCGGCAGATGTCAAGCAGGCAACTCGTGCTTTGGTTAACCTCAACACGTACTTCCAAGATTCACGCCACTGGAAAGAGGTCTGGACTAGCGACATCGTCAAAGACTCGTGGAGGAAGCTGTGGCTGACAGACGACATGCCCAATGCCCAACCAGCAAACGAGTGGTTCCGTACCGAGTTGCCAACACTTGGTCACTTTGACACTGCGTTGGAACTGTGGTATAGGTGTAAGTAAACTTGCCAGTATATATTGAGCGAAACTGACTTTTATAGATCTCTTCATCTTCTCCATTCCAATCCCCGACAAGATTCCCCATGTTTTCCAGGCCTCTCACCACAGTGTCTCCGCGTCTTATGGTATCGTTTGCAAGCTCAAGCGCAACTGTACCCTTCAGATCTGGGATCACGCCATCTCCTGGCGTGAGACTAACCTCTACCTGTCATCGGCCATGTGTACTCTACCACCGTTTATCCGAAATTCGCTGCTGGGCCTGATGAAGCTGACCTCGTGTCTCATTCTTCATCACGCCGATCAGATCCTTCCATGTGCAGGTATGTATACACCCTTCAAGTCTGTCAGTCTCAACTAATTCTTTTGCCCTCAGACTTCTTCAACCCAGGATGGGAAATTGAAATTGGAAGCGCAAAAGGACAGCTCACCCACCGCAACGTCTTCAAGCGCAAGGTTGATCCTATTGTCAACGGCATCACTGATATGACCAAGTTTGCTCCAGTCACGGAAATCAAAGCAAAGACACCAACAGTGACCATGTTGTCCCATGTCTGGTTTGCCAAGGACATCAAGACCGCTCTGCTGGCCGCCGACATTATCACAAACGAATGGGGTTTCAAAGACTACAAGCTCGACATTTACGGTGCTCTCAACAAATCTCCCGTCTATTCTTCCGAATGTCAAGAGATTCTCGCCTGTAAGGGTCTGGGTCAGAACGTCACTATGCGCGGTACAGCGGATCCGGCAATGGTTCTTGCAAACACCTGGCTGTTCCTCAACTCATCGGTTTCCGAAGGTCTACCTCTCGCACTCGGAGAAGCTGCGTTGACTGGAGCCCCTGTTGTCTGTACTGACGTGGGTGCATCTCTACGCGTGCTCACTGATCCCGATGATGGCAAACGGTACAGCGAAGTCGTTGCCCCCAACGATGCATACGGCCTGGCTCGCGCTCAGATCAACCTCCTCGCCATGTTAGACGAATGGGCCCAGTACGCCGAAGACGGCCCTGGTGTCGCAGCCCCAGTCCTCCCCCACAAGCCCACGCCCAAGGACGTCGAAATCATCACCCGTCGGATGTACGAGAAATCCGACCACCGCCGCAAACTCGGCATGATGGCCCGCAACATTGTGCAAAAATCCTTTGGCGGCGAGCGCTACCTCCGCGAACACGAGCAAATGCTCTGGATCGGCAAGTCCTTCTACGAAATGCTCGACTTTGAAAAGCAGACCCCGCCACCCAGAAACCCAGCGCGCATGTTGTCGCTCCGCCGCACACGCACCGTGCCGCAGCGCGACACCATCGACACAACGGCCAGCAGCAGCATCTTCGACCCTCAAATGGAAAAGATGATGCACCCACGTCGTCCCTTTGCCAATCGCGCATCAGCCGCTACATCCTTCTCGTCCGTCTACATCGACGACGAAGACCCCTCTGGCCCTTCCTCCGCCTACTCCCCCGACCTCCCCTGGGAATCAGAACCCTGGGACACACAACCGGGCTCCGCAGGCGCATCTACTAAATACGCAACCTCCGAAAGCGACGAGTGGGCTCTCCCCGTCATCCCGCGCCCCACGCGAACGTATTCCGGCACGCACATTGCGCCCATGCGGTCGCCGTCGTCGTCGGTCGTGCTGCCTGGTGGCGGCAAGGGCAAACGCCCCATGCAATTCCAGTACGCGGGCCAAATGGCAAGCTCGGAGACTGGCAACGGCATGCTTGATCCTAGGCGAGATGTCCTGGCTAGAACGAGCTGGGCGCCGAATAGTGGACGCAGTAGTTTGAGAAGGAGTCATTTGAATGAGATGGAACTTGCCTAGAGCGTTGACGACATAGTAGTTCGTTTTCGCCCTTTTTGTTTTCTCGTTTTTTTTCTTTTTTTACACTGATGGCCCTCGAAACACCAGAGGTTGTATCCAACGGATAAAGATTTTTAGTGTTATCATCTGAACGTTTCTGTCCTGTTTAATGTTGTTGTTTTCAAAAGCGTTGCATTACGTTGCGTCAACAGCGTTTTTGTTTTGTTTTTTTGACATTCCTGACTGCGTTTTCAGCGTAGCGATGTTTTTTTTGGCTTTGGCTTTGGCTTTGGCTTTGATGCAAAGTATTATTCCCCACAAAGCAAACAAGAAACAGAGAGAAAGAGAGAGAGAGAGAGCATAGATTGAGTTTACGAAGTCGTTATATAGTTAGAAATGTGAACATTTCTTTTCCATTCTAATGATTTGGTGGGTTTTGTGTACGTGAATGTGAATGTGTGATGGAGGAGAGGAGAGAAGAGAGGAGAGTTTGAAGAGATGCGTGTGTTGGTGTTGAGGTTTGAAATGTGTGTAGGACCTTTAGGGGGGTGGGGGGGGGGTATCTTAGATGCACATTGATTCCGTCTGATATGGAAACGAAAGTAAATGGATAGTCATCTACACAAGGGTATGGGTGTTGAGAGTCTAGTGCCCACTATATTTCGTCCAAGTAGGCCCCCACACAGCTAAGTGCGCGCTGAGGACTTTTTTCTTTTGCCGTTGTCGTCGGAAGAAGCGCAACGCCCGTGCGAAGCGAAGTGAAGTAGATGGTGATTGACTTAGGCATTTAATGGCGATATAAACCTATCATAGGGTGTGCAGAGGGGCGAAGCCTAGGGTTTCTGGGTGCCTATGATGTAGTACCTCCCAGGTGATAGTTGTGTGGATACTCATCCGCTGGTGAAGAAGCATTATGCACTGTCACGTGCCCACGATAGGTGAAAGTATATGGTGAGAGTTGGGGGTGTTGAAGTGGTTTACAGCAAAAGATCACGAGAGTAGTGGTTGGAGAGGTATGGAGATAAAGGTGTGCAGATGCGACGGTGAGTAACATGGGACTATTGATCAAGATGAAATGGGCAGGCGCGAGATGAGGCAGATGGAAGAGGCAGTGGGATGATGCGTTTGGCAGTATGCTAGATATCGATCATTATTTCTCATCGCATCCGGTGAGATGATAGGAACGAGAGATCGGTAGTGGTGGTCAAGAGAATCTGTGTATCTCTCTAGGAACATGAAAAGTAATTTGTTCCGTCGTGACAATGAGAGGTGGCTAGCAAATGGGATACAAACCCGGCATATCCTAAATGCCCCTTTTCCGACATCTATATCGGATTTCTCCGTTTTTTTTTTCATTCCACTTGTTCAATGCGTATATCCATGGCACATGGGGGTAATCATGTGAAACCGACGTGGTGTTGCGCTCGGACTGGGCCGGGTACAAAGTATTGTCGATTCCATTCTCTGACACATTAATGTTACGTTACGCTTGCATGTTGGCGACCGGAGCGTGGTGAGGTGACAGTCACATCGGTTACTGCACCCGGATGCCGCTGCAAAACGGTTTCCATGGCTAGTGCTGCGGAGCGACGAGTCGTGAAAAGTTGGCTGAACAATACGGTCGTTTGTGATGGTTGGGCGTTTTCCACGATTGCGGAAGACTATAAGCTAAAGTTATAAGTCCACATGTGCTGAGGGTCCCACGATACCTACAGAGATAGATACTCCGCGCTTTGATAGATACTCCTCCCCGGGCGATAACGTTCGATATCTTGTGTCAACTAAACCAGCGCACGACTGCGGGTGGTTGTTTTTACTGGTTAAACGTCATCGGGATGTGGCCTATTTGGAGCAATAATAGCGCAGTCAAATGACGTGTTTTGAGGAGAGTCATGAAACAAGACAAATCTTGACACGGGGTGGGTGGGTGCGATGTTTTGATGATGAGGGTGGAGTGGTAGATTAAAAACAGTGTCGTGGTTGAGCAAATCGACGATACATACCAAGTCAGGTATGCAGACCAATCCACTGGATAGTCTTGGGGGGCTGACACGTTCCATTGATGGACTGCAGCGATCGCCGCGCCTAGAATTCGTCATGTTGCCTGTTTGAGCAATTTGGTTCGGTATTTGTCGTCATATGTTGCGGCTCCGCGACAGCGACGGGTAAGGAGTACCGCACCCGCGCCGTTTGCGGCGAGGACATGTCGTAATGCCAACGGCGCGCGTGAAGTAATACGGCGAGCTATCGTGATAGGAGGGACGCGTGGATTTGCATCGTCGTGATGCCTATCACTTCCGGGACGCTTTGGTAGTGATTTGACGTATAGCAGATTGTCGATCAGGAAGGGGAACCTGGTTGACGATGATTGTTGCCCCCGTTTTCAACCTCTTGTCTGGTCTTATCTTCCGAGTCGTGGTATAGGAAAGCGAGCCGCAACGTCGGAAGTGACGTCAGAGGGCCCGATGGGGTGTTTGTGCAGTCCATGGATGAAGGGCCGAAGACGTCGTGTAACGGACCGGGGTTTACATCATGCTGCTTCAGCTGTCAAGGTACAAATCCTTGAAGACAGAATCGGGAAGCCGTCTTTGGTTGTACCGCTGGCGACCCCGGCTGCGCATCAACGGGTACACGCCTGGCCTTTGGAGTTTCCCCATATCGGGTGCAATGCTAGCGCCATTGACACGTGACTGTGGATAAGTGATCGGACCGACCAGACAACGCGGTTTAGTGCAGAAGCATGAAATGCTTAGTGCATACTGTATAGTGCCCAAGAGTGGGGATTCGTGTACAGCGTGTATCGGGTGGGCAAGGCGCGGCGCCAGGTGACTTTGTGTGAACCCGTCTCGAGGTAGCGGGACTCGGGATTCAACGTGAACAAGGCAAATGTCCATGTACACTGGTGGGGCAGAGCACAGAGCAGAGTGAAGCATCAGATGTGGGTGATGAGGCCATGCATTGGCTCTAGACGGTCGTGGTAATGGGGTACCTTGAATGGTGATTTTCGCGTGGCTGTAGCCGTACTCGCATCGATGCGAGATGACGTTGAGGGTGAGGGTGAGGGTAAAGGGAAGGAAGGGGTCGGGGTGCTGGTGGGAAGAGCCGGTGGTGAGGTGATGAAGTAAGTGTTTAGCTTATTGAATATCACATGAAATGGGGCTACCTATTCAAAAGCACGTGGGAAGGGGAGGGGCGCATGCAAGCGTCGTCAACGCTTGTTGTGACGGTGAGCTGTCGTTGCTGGGTAGTATGTATCGTAGGTATGCTTACCTGTATACCCCGCGCGGTTTGAGTTTGTTGACAAGATGTCGAGGAGCAGCAGTGCTTAGGAACCCCAGACTACCATTTCCATGGGACAGCGAAACGGCGTGGGCGACAAGGGAGATACGAGTAGAATGGAGCGTGCAAAGCACAGTACGTCAACAGGGCTGATGCACAGCGCGCAATGGCTAAGGTTGAAACAGTCTAGCGGAGACAGCCTTGGCGGTACACTAGTATTGGATGGGGACATGGTGTGTACATGGTAGATGTCGATGTACAGTGCATGATGCATCCATCCGGTTATACGGTTAGCGGTGAACAGGGCTAGCCGCGACTGGCAATGGATTCCCAAAGGGATTTGGGGTCCTGTTGCAACGAAGGAAGGAGGGAGGGAGGGGCGGCTCGCCAGACCTGCTGCAAGAGAGGTGTTGACGTTGCAGAGTGGAGGACGATTCAGGTGAGATTGAAATGGACGGCACAGCGGCAGCTACTGGCCGTAAGGCTAAACTTTGCCAAATGCCGTTTACGATGCAGGCTGCATGAACGACAGATGGGCGGCGACTGTGACTGGGAAGTCGAGAGTGACGTCGGCCAGTCAGTCTGGACGGAAAAAGCGCCGGTCGGCCTTTGGGTGAGCAGCAGCCACTTGGCGGAGGTGGTGATAGGCGACTGCGGGAGGCCCGCGCCCCAACGAAATGCGCCCCGACCGAGAGCGGCGATTGAGGGGAGAGGGGGGGTAAGAGAGGGAGGGAGAGTGTGTGTGAATGGGGGACGGGACGGGATGCATGCTATTGCTCGAGTGAATGAATGTAGTATGTATGTAGTAGTATGTACGTATATATGTGCGTGGTATGTGGTCATGTAGATGACATGTACATGTGTAAGGAGCATATATGAGAGACGGAGAGATACGTGTCGTCCGGCTTGGGGGACAGGGGCATAGGGCGTGTGAATGGATGGATGGATAGGCGGAGGGATGGAGGGAAGGGTGGAAGGGTGAATGTAGTAAGGTGTGTGTGTGTGTGAGAGAGAGGGAGGGAGGGTGAATGGGAGAGTACACGTCTGTTGGCAGAGTGCAACGAGTGCGTGCGTGCGTGCGTGCGTGTGCGTGAGAGAGAGAGAGTGTGTGTGTACTCTACTAGGTGTATGCAGAGGCCGGGCGTGGGAGCAGCTGCAGGGTCCAATCAAGGCAGGCGGACAGGGATGGGCTTGCTGTGGTCAAGGAAGGCGCGAGGCAGGCGCTCGGGTGGTCGGGCTCCGGTGATGGTCGAGGGAGCAAGTCGACAGTAGCAGCAGAGATTCGCAGTCAGCTGGCCGGGAGGCCATGTTTCGGACTAGGAGTCGAGGCAAGGCAATGGTAATTTGGCCAGCTGTGGGCGTGGGGGGCATGCTTTAAGGCAATGGATGAGAAATGGGGCGGGCGCTGGAGAAGGAGCACGACATTGCGGGTCGTGGGCTCAGGCTGTTGCCGATCTCCTCAGCAGCTGCACGTAAGCAGGCGACACCATGTGCCCCAGACACTGCTCAAGAGCGAGCGGCCGTGGACCATGGGGTATTAGGCTTGGTAGCAGCAGCAGGCCTGCCACTGCATTGACTACTGTCTGTATACGAGAGGGCGCGGGGGAGCGTGACTGTGAAAGTGACAGTGCCTGTGGCTAGGCTGCAGGCTAGATTCTCGGAAAGTCTGCGGCTGAGTGATTACTCTATAGGTAGCTGAGTACTTGGACACATGGTAGTAAGTACACTTGGATGGCTGTATACCGACTCTGCTAGTAGGCTCGCAGCTGGCCGTCTGGAGCGAGGCCGTTGTTTGTGCGGGTGCTGGAGAGTGGCTACGACTACGGGCCATGGCTGGCTAGGGTGAGTTGGAGTAGGGACAGGGCCTCCGATCCATTGTAGCGCCAGGGCTAGGCAGGCTGGCGGCGGCCACTTTAGTCTGCTGCTTGTGTAAGAGCAGCCCAAACACAGGCAAACAGCCGAAACGAGGCCGGCCAGGGCAGATGCAACGCGCCGACCTGCCCGCTCAACTGGCTTGAAACGTTTGCGACGGCAGCGTCGAGGGCAGCATTGCAGTGCGTGCTGCTATGCTTGCGATGGGTGCTTTAACAGATTTCTAGTCCATACGAGTATCCGAGTAGTAGGCCTGGTTGCGGCTAGGCCATCTTGTCGTCGTGTGGCGCGACCCCTCTTGTGCGCACCACCATGACTGACCAGCACCAACACCATGCCAGTGCCAGCACCGCCCGCACACGCCCACGGTAGCAGCTGGCATGTGTGTCCGTGTAGCATGTAGTATTACCAGTAGTCTGTCTGCAGCCAGCGTCAGCGTCAGCGGCGGTTCGCAGGCCCGTGTTGGGAGGGAGCCCCCCCCCGGTCAGGTGATCACCGCCACTATGAGCATACCCAAGCCCAGCAACACCATGTGCATCAGCAGCACGCGGGCGGAATTTCCTCGGATCACACCTGCGCCACTGCAAACGGGCTCGGACTCGGGCGCAGGCTCAGCGAGGATGCCAGCACCAGCTACGACCAACCGCCCTCCGTCCAGTAGCATGTCCTTCTAGAAGACGGCGACAACTGCGCGGAGCAAGGATGGCCTGGCCTGGCCTGGCCTGGCAGCAGCAGGCAATGACAATGCCAACGGAGGACGTGAACGAACAGGCGCTCCGGCTCTAGTCCATGTGCAAGTGCATCGTACGCACATCCGACTAGCAGTCTAGCTGTAGTGTAGGGGCGACCAACCGTGTGGCCGTGCATGCCATGCCATGCCATGCCATGCCATGCTCTGCTCGCTCTCAGTCTCATCTCATCGCGCTCCAAACACGCCTCTGCCTCGGCCGGCAGCGCCGCCCCGCCACGGACGGCCCTCGATGACATTCACCCTCAGTGCCGGGTGCCTGTCGCTCGCACACACAGGGCGCCAGTGAGCTTCGGCCGTTCTATCGTAGTCGCGTGTGTGGCCGCTCATTTCGTCATGCAACCCGCCATGGCTCTTCGTCAGAGTTGCACCTTTGCTGCCGGCGATGCATACAGGTTACAGTAGCGCCAGCCCGCAATTGGCCGCACCCACCCACCCATCGCCAGGGATCCTCCAAGCCCGCCCAGCAGTCGGCCGCTTGTCCTTTCTACCCTCGTTAACCTCGTCACCGCTTCCACGCCAACATATAGCCCCCCCCAGGCCCCGGCTTCACCCACGGCCATCGGTACTTTTTTTAAAACACACCCATTTGCCGCCGGACCTGAATTGCTACAGGCACACACACACACACACATACATACATCTCTTGCTGCTGTCTCGCATTGCTCACTCCTACTACCACCACTGCCCTACCATCCACCAACATCCATTGTTGCAGCACGCACCAATCCTCGCCTGCACCACGCCACACCACACCACACCACCGCCGCACAGTCATCCGGGACCGCGCCTAAACGCCTCGCACAGTCCCCGCCACAACACCGCGCGCACCCCCGCCGCTGCTTATATCCCATTGACTTCGCCTAACCGTGAAGCTGGATTCATACGAGCACCCGCCTCCCCTCACCCACTCGCCGCGCGAATCCACCGCAGCGAGCACTCCCATCACCACGCCTGTTGACCACCCCTCGTCGCCGCACTTTGGTCGTGTCAACAAGAACTCCCCCGCCACCCTCGTCAACCTCTGGCACCGCAAGCCCCACGAGCTTGCCGCTAGCCGCCAACCAGACGAGGACGTCTTGTTCGAGGACGCGGGCGACTGCAGTTTCTCGCTCTTCCCGCAAGAGCCTCAAGTTCACGCCGGCTTCGCAGACATGGCCACTGCCTCGCCCATTGACATCCAGACGCCCCCGCGCTATGGCTCAAACTCTCCCCCAAACCAGACCTCCAACCTCACCTCTGCCCTCAAGCAGGCAGAGGCCCAGCCAGACCTCGCCACCACTCCAGGTTTGCTGAATCCTAACCACTTCGACTTCAACCACAATGCCCGTCCCAGCATCAGCGAGCGCCACCCCTCCATCAGCATGCTTGGCTCTTCCTTTTACGGAAACAGCGGCGCCAGGCCCATCACCATGAAGGATCGCGGGCGTCGCGAGAGCACAAACATGGGCAGCTTCGCCGGCGGCATGAGCTGGGGCGGCCACTCGGTCGGCTCGTGGATTCGCGATGAGTAAGTTACCCCCACCCACTTTCGGGCCGCCACAACAAAACCCGACTAACACGTTTTACCCAGCATCATGATGGGCACTTCACCCGCACCTTTTGCCAACAACTCGCCTTCGTTCCACTCGTCGTCATATCTGCCCAAGATGGAAGCCGCCTTTATGAAGGATTTCACTTGCTGTGGCCTCACCCTGGCCTCGCTGCACGATCTGCTGCAGCACTTTGAGGAGACTCACGCAAACGCGCCTGCCGCCCGCCCCCAACAGCCCCCCACAAATGGCTTCACCTCTGCATCGGGTGCACCAACAAACTCGATCGCGCCCAGCCAGACTCAGGGCGATGCACCCTTCAACACCCAAAATGGCTTCCAACAAAGATCGGGCTCAGTTGGCGCCCACCGCCCACGGATAGGCTCCGTCAGCCGCTCCAACCTGTCCACTGTACAGGATATGGATTCGCTAGACGACATGGATATGGACGACATCAATTTTGACACACTGGGCTCCATTGACGAGCAGCAGCAGCAACAACAGCAGCAGCAGCAGCAGCCGATGCAACAATTCCCAGTCCAAAATCAGTTCAACCAGAACCAAAACCAACCGTCAAATCTCAACGTCAACGTCAACATGGCCAACAACATGCAAAACCACCAAGGCATGCGAACATCATCACCAAACACGCCCTCGGCCTCGCAGCAATTTAACCTCCAGAATAACCCCACCGTGTCTTCGGTCAACACGCCAACAATGGGTACTATGCCCATGGCAAACCACAACTTGACCTCGCCAGAATCCTCACACCCCGGCACTCCAGCCGAGCTTGACATGGATTTTGGCGGCTTCAACCCAATGATGGGAATGGACATGGGAATGCCCATGGGCATGAACTTTAACGGAAATGGCAATGGTAACTTTGGCATGGCCGCTTTTGACAACAACGGCACAATCGACCAGCCAGGCAAGCGTCTGTTCAGCAAGCAGGGCGGTGGTCTCAACCAAGCACAGCTGCAAGCAGCCCTCAAGAACTACCAGCTCAGCGGAAATGACCAGAGCGAAATGGCCAGGCGGCTACGGGAACAGCAGCTTCTCAACGGTGCCAGCATCCCCCAATTCCCATTCCCCGAAGAGGTCAAGCCATTCCGATGCCCAGTCATTGGATGCGAAAAGGCGTACAAGAATCAAAACGGTCTCAAGTACCACAAGCAGCACGGCCACCAGAACCAGCAGCTCAAGGAGAACGACGACGGCACATTTTCCATTGTCGATCCCCTTACCTCGATCCCCTACCCCGGCACAGTGGGCATGGAGAAGGAAAAGCCATATCGCTGTGAAGTCTGTGGCAAGCGGTACAAGAACCTCAACGGTCTCAAATACCACCGCTCCCACGCACCCCACTGCAACCCCGAGCTGGCCATGCAGAAGCTTGGCCTTACTGGAAACCTTCAGAATCTGCAGAATGCCAACGTTGCGGGTGTTGGAATGGGTGGCATAGACCCTTCCATGTTCTAAACCACACATGCCTTGAACTTTTCCTCTACTTCTCTTAATACCCATTTTCTATCATCCAAGACGAAAAGGTCACGACTGGTTTCTCACCTCTTCGTCATCTGCATCTCCTGGCGTTTCTCGGATTGGGAGAATCTTTTCATTCTCATCTCCTACCCAAGCCAGCCAGCCCTGGTGTTTGGATACGAAAAAAAAATGCCCGCCGGCCCGCCACATGTTTTGATTCATGTACATACATCTCTCGAGAGGTGCATCTTCCTTTACCAGCACGCCACGCCTGGTATCACGATTTGATGCTCATTACCAGAGGTGAATGAGAGTGGCCATGTCCTTTTTATTTGTTTTACGCGGAATATATCCCCTGGGTCATCATTGTCTTTTCTGTTTGTCTCCGACTCCTCTAGACATTGGGTCTTTGTAACAATGGGCGTTTAAATCGCAGTCACAAAAAGTTATCAAAACAGGTCTACGCTTATGCGCTGTGTTTTTATTTGTTTTCTTTCAGTATGATATAGTTATAGACTTGATGGATTTTCTTGTCAGTCAGAGTCAGTCAATCACTCAGTCAACAATGGGGGTTTTCAAGAGGGATCTCTATAATACTACGCTCTACATACTCTCTACCTCGATCCAATTCGTCTTACGCATCTCCCGTCTCATCACTCACCATCATCGCCTTCTGACCGCCGTTTCGACACACAGACAACAGACCAAGTAAGCAATGGAATGGAGAAAGTTCATCCCACGTATCAACACGTTGCTGTTACAAGTTACAAGGTTCCTCCATGTTCACTCGAGGGACCACGAGTCCTTTTCGGCCAGGGTGGCGTTACGGCCGTTAGGCCAAGAGTCGGCAATCGAAAAACATCAACAACAAAACGAGAGCTAGCACAGCTGCTCCGCTAGTCGACGAGACACGAAACACACGTGCGTTCTTACTGACTAACAGTATGCCCGACTGGGAGCAATCAAAGCCCACAAATGTATTTGTGTCCATAGCGCACATGCGCCTTGCCCGCGCCCAGGGTCCTTTAAGCGGCACGTCCACGCACGCACGTACGCACGCACATGTATGCAATACCGCACGTGTGTCTGACTCGCCTCATGTCTGGCCTGCCAAGACACGACTTCATGTTACCTCCCCACGCTACTGTTACTAGACTGCCCGTCGCAATAGCCGCCGGCGGGCTGGACGGCCTGCATGACATGTATTTTGTGCGCCCCAACTGCCTGTTTGGGTATGATGGCTGTCACGTGTGATGGTTTTGGTGGCTCTTTGTGTTTGGGTGTGGTTTTCTTGGCCGTCTTTGGCCGAGACTATGGCCGACGAGTCAAGTGTTTAGGGAACGGCTGGAGAAGGGTTAAGCACGGGAAATAGACGGCTAGAATCTAGTAGATGGGGGAGATTTGAAATGCGAGATTTGGTGGCGAATGTGATTGTTTTGCGGGTTAAGGGAAGGGTCAAAGGTACCGAGGCTGCGGATCAGGGTACACGGGATATGTCCATGAGGGTTTCGCCAAATATTTGGATGAAAAAAAAAGGGTCGTGAGTAGAAGGGTCCACATGTAAGATGGATAATATAATTATGGATAACTACATCTTTTTTTGGATGAAAACATAATAGTTTAACTCGCCCTTGAAACACGGGCCTTTTCTTACATCTCCTTCTTCTTCTCAAATTCTCACATGCACCAATGTAAACCCACAACAAAGTGTGTAACACAAACACAAAAACACCCCCGAAAACCAACCCGATACTACCCATCCTGTTTTCCCACATCTCTCCAATCTCTCTGAACCCCTGGCTATACACAGTCACACATATAATGTCATGCACGCAATTATCCCACTATGCAAGGATCCCAACCAAGCCACGTGCGCCTGCAGCGCTACGTGCGGGAACGTAGAAAAATAGAGGACGCTTTTTTTTATTCCTTTTGCGTCAGGGATGACGTTCGGAGAGACAGGACACTCATCTTTTGTGCGCACGAGATTTGGAGTAACAGATATGGTAGAGTAGGTGTAGGTGTTTGGCTGTTGTGGGCTTCTTCCTTTCTTTCTTTCCTCCACACAAGACCCAAGATCCCCCTCATCTAACCCCATCACCCCTCCATCACTCCACCAAATCATGTTTTAACCGTCATTTCCGTGTCTCATTCTTGAAATCTTGATCGCGAGTCCAAATCGTCTGGTCGCATAGTCCTGTTTCTTGCTTTCTTGCTTGGGCATCCTTGCATACTCGCAATCCTCACCCTAATCTACGTTCCCTACCTCATCATCTCAATATCATCTAGATATATTTCCTGCATCCATCTCTTCTCTATCCAATCACCGCTATCTCGCAAAGCCACGCAGCCACTGCCTACAAGCCGGATACGCTTCATCCCGCTCCGCTTACATCCTTCCTTCCCTGTTCCCCGCCCCCGCCCCCGCCAGCCACCGCGCACCCGAACGAGACATCCCTTTGGTATACACTTGTAATCACCAACGGAAACCATCCAGATTCCGCAAATCGCATGCGCCGTGCGCTTATGCAATGCATCGTCAGCCGTTTCACTACGCCACCTGGAGAAGATCGAGATAGGAAAGCGCAAGGGATGAGACAAAAGTAATCGATCTCGGGTCTGATCCGGCCTAGTACCAGTGCCACGAACGTCGTTTCCTTGGCTCTTGCGCTGATAAAGCTTTTGGCAACTTGGCCTCTCCAACCTCGTGTTTTCGTGCTCTAAAGATATATATGAGGTGTACATTCTGGGGATTGCAGTACTACATCTGACCCCACACGCTTCCCCGCTTTTTGTCGTATCTTCCACCGCAAATGGCTACGTACGGTACGTTTGGTGGGGACGCGGAACGCCATCCCGTGCCTAGATCTGAGGCTCCATGGGAGAAGCTAAAGGCCGAGTCATATTCCCTTTTCCTGAAGCTGAGCGAGTTGCCAAAGGGGACGTATGATGAGTTTGAAGCTTCGTGGGCGGATAAAGAGAATGGCGAGTTCAAGGGTGGGTTGGGTGTGGTGATTGTGGTGAGGTACAGTGAGACGCCTGTTGGTATGTTGATTTCTTTTTCATCCTAAAGTATATGGTCCCAAAAGCCATCGTATTCGTAAGAGTAGGGAATCGGATCTGCAAACTTGTACACAACCCCACACCCAACTCATTCTAACCATCCCCCTCCAGGCCCATACGACGAAATCATCTTCGTCCCCGGTAACTTCACCACGCCTCTCCCCCCAAACCCCTCCTCCCTCCCTGCAAAAGCCCTCCGCATATCCCGCATCTACGTCTCCCAACGCACCACCACCTACAACGGCCGCCTAAACTGGAACATCCCCAAACACCTCGCCCGCTTCTCCTTCTCGTCTCCCCCAACTCCTGCCGGCGCGTCCCCTCCCCCCTCTCTCACCGTAAAAGTCTATCCGCCTTCCTCCATTGAAGGCGACTCCACCCCACCTTTCTTCGCCTGCACCCTCACACCCTGGAAATGGATTCCCGCCTTGCCGGTAAATACAAAGTACATTCCTCTCAGTTTGGCTCTTGTTCAACCACCTGTCCCCGAACCAGCGGGACATAAGGAAGCGGTTAAGAAGGTGTTAGAGGGGGAGACGGTGGATCCGTATGATATTCGTGATGCGGAGAAAACGCTTGCGGTGCTTCCAGGGACGGATAAGTGGAAGGAGTTTGATATCTTGGCGAGGAGTCCGAGGGCGAGGGGATGTTGGGTGCAGGTTCATGAGCCGGAGGAGGAGGAAGGGGAGGGGAAAGTGTATTTTCCGAAGAACTTGGGAGCTTGGAGCTTTGGAGGGTGGATGGAGGATGTGGAGTGGTCGATTGGGGGGGTTACAGAGTGGACTGTTGAAAAGGCGGGGACTTGAGGGACTTGACGGTGTTGCTGGAATGATGGGCATATGAGAAAGCAGCAAAATGCCCCAGTTTTTTTCAGGCGTTATCAAGGTTAATATTTCGATATATTGATATATTGCTACGTGGAATCATTGTATCCAGAACAATCACCTCTTGTTTTTATTTTATTTTTTGCCCATTGCCATTATTTTACTCCCGGCATGCCTAGGAATTCGTAGCTCAAAATCACATCACGCTTGAAAACCCCGTGCCAACCAGACCATGTTGCCGCAGCGCTCACCCAAACATTCTTGCAAAAAAAGCCTAGAGCAAAGCGAGAGGTCCTTCTTCAGGTTGCTCCGGAGCCCCCCGGTGCTCGCGGGGGCTCCCTTAACTCCCACATCCCACATTCAATCCGTTCTGAACCATGAACCTCGCCGTTTTTTTTTTGGAAATTTGTTGTTGTTGTTGTTGTTGTTAAAAAAACAGCGTCGCCTTCTTTGTAACACTGGGTCACAGGAGTGCGTGTTACCAAGGGTCAGCTCAGGAAAAATTCGCTAGTAAGGGCGAAGAAAGAGAGAGAGAGAGTGTGTGTGTGTGGTAAATGCAGGATGAACTCACACAACCTTTGACTTTTTCCAACCAAAGACAATCTTTATCGCCCCCTCCCAAACGACCCCATTTGCAGTTACACAGGAGTTTTTGTAGGGCGAGAGATAGCGCGCGCGATGAGTTGGGGTTATTGTAAGGGGGAGGGGGAGAAAAGGGGTTTCATGATGGTGGCGAGATCGTGAAGAGCATATAGGGGGGAGAAAGGTGCGGTGGGTGTGAAGCGGACTGGAGAAAATCTCATGTCAGCATGGATGTCAAGCAGAGGATGAAGGTTTTGAGTGCCCCTTTTTTTTTCCCCGCCTCATCACAGCATCCCGAATTATTATGTTTAGGGCTGGTTAAAAGATTTTGGTACCTGAGGGGTTGAGGTTTGTGAGCTGTTATAGGAGGAGAGGCATGGCTGATGAAGTATGCGTTCACTTGTGTTGGGATTAGTTTGGTAAGATAGTGATTGGAGATATGGTGTAGATTGTAAATTAGGCAGGATAAGTACTCTAGAGCTAAAGGCCTGCGGTTTTTTGTTACTAAAGAGCGTTTTTGTTTTCCGG